ACTGCGACACAAAGTTTGCGAAACATTGATTTGCATTTTGCTATTGTCGCATGTATTCTCATCAACGCAATCACTGAGCTCTCCTTATCTATATCATTGTGTACATAGAGGTCGAAATAGATGCAGAGGTTGCTCTTATATTAGTACATGTGCATATCAGTACCTATGCATTGTGCTTATGAAATGACTATTTGTGGTTTGATGTGTGGACTCGTGTGCTGGTTTAATGTGGTAAAACTCTATTAGTGGCTTATTGCTGATGAAATGATTATGTAGTTATTCGAGAATAATTATGTAGTCAATCTGTGCAGCAGTGACGATCTCGATTTTTTTCTGATAAAATAATTGTTGAGCACGTGGTAGAACCTGGACAGGCCACATGATCAAATAAAAATGTGACACTTGGACCAACTAGTGCATGACACGTGAAATAGCCAGAAAACGACACGTTGGCTATTAAGAATCTGAGACATGGCCAAATCAAAAAACAAAACGTGGATGGACAGCATGGTGACGCATGGTTGAATAAGAAACGGGCACGTAGACCAATAAAAATGCGACATATGGTCCAATGAAGAATTGACACGTGCTTCAACCGCAACATGACACGTGTGCCAATAAAAAAACTGACAAGTGAAACAACAGCAACCTGACACGTGGTCCTGTAAGAACATGAAACATGGAAGAACAGAGATAAGGTAACACGTGACCCAAAGCATCTCTAATGCAACCGGCTATAGTATATACACATGGAAAGCATCTTCAACGGAAGTATCCGCCAGCGTGTCTGTCTTCTGCAAAGCATGCCAAAACAGTTCTACGACGGTTAATTTTTCATCACAGATCGAACCACTTCTTGACGAAGTTTTCGGATTCATCATGCATGTACCAATATGACACGTCATTTTTTACGAACGATTTTTCGTCATAGAACTGAAATTATGACGATTGTTGCTTCTTCAGTGATGAAAGTTGTTCGACGTATATGTGCAGATTTCTACCAGTGGGTCCAATCGTCAATAAAAACGCCAGCGGCCATAGAGGCTCGGGGTACCATCATATTAGTCCGATGACCTCCCAATGGAGCAAGCGCGTTTCAGCGTTACACTGAAATTTACCAACAAAAACTAGTTCAGACAAAGCAAACTAGAATAGACACATAAGATGTCTCCAATCTCACTCCTAAGCACTGCGAGTCTACAACGCAGAACAAGTTTTCTTCACATGTAATTGCATAGGGAGAACCCCATAATACTGGAAACTCTGTGCTAGATGTATTGAGATAGAAACTGCTGAGTGGCTTTCTTTTCTCGTCTATGAGTGAGTCTGGGTTCCAATACTCATCATCCTTTTAGAAGACTGATTATATAGCCCTTCTGCCCATACTTCCAAGTAAGTCCTCGACGTACAGAACCCATCAGGAACATACTACTGATAGCCGTTTGGTTGCATACCTCGCCTGGGGAGCAGAGCATAATGAACACCTGAGATCAGTTGGCTGGGCCAGACAAATTCTCAGACCACTGTCACGACCTGGCCATGGGCCTGTAATAGCTTTAGGGAATGGGTCGTGGTTTGGGCCCGCGTGCCTTTAACTGTGTTGGGCTTTGTCCATATAGGGAACCATATACATATATACTTTTGGCTGCTGTGGAGACAGCATGGATGATGAAATTGAAATGAAATGAACTAATCTACTACCTCCAAACCTTCTGTTCTTCTCTCCTTCAGCCCTGTTCGCTTGTCTTATAATCCATACTTTTCGTCGGCTTGTCTGTTCAGCCGCAACCGTGTTTTTCTCTCACAACAAATCAGCCGGAACAGTGTTTCATCTTCTTTTTTTTTTCAACGAAGCGAACGGGGCGAAGCAAACAGCCCTATCGATGCCTCCATACTTCGGAATTACATGTAGTTCTGCTCCTGTCGAAGTTTTTTCACACTGTCAAATGCTGCTTATGGCCCAACTGCCAATCCATGATACTGGAAAACAGGGCCTCCTCTCTTTGAAAATAAGGAAACGTGCATACAGGGGCATGAACAGGGCAACGTGTAATTCTTTTAATTTAATAGACGGATTTTGCACCAGGGAATCTATCCACACGCAGCGCAGCAGCGCGTTTCTAGAACCCTCGTCTTCGGAGTGAGAGCCGTCGCGGCCACCATCCCCTACCCGCGCCGCTTCCACCTGCCACGCCCTCCTGCGCCTGCAGTGCTCCGCCTTCCCATCGTTCTCCGCCAGGGGAGATGGGCTGACTAAGTCACGCGGCCGTCGCCGACGCGCCTAGTCCTCCTTACAAAACGCCGGACCCCACACGGAGCGGTCGTGCTGCGGTCCATGTGGCGGCGATGAGCGTGCTGAGGCCGAGTCCGGCGTCCTCCACCTTCACAACGGCGGCGATAAGCAGCGATCGGGCTCATCTCGTGGCGCGTAGACACCAGCGAGGCGACGCGTCCCGTGCGGGCGAGCCGAGCGCAGTGTCGCACGAGCGTAGTCCCTGGGGCAGCCGGACGCGGCCGCTGCACACCGGCGAGGTGCCGCAGTGAACCAACCACATCACGGCACGGATATATAGGTCCCCGGCGAGGCGGACGCCACCGCAAACGCGTGCCACCGGCGTGGCCGCGGACCACCGACGAGACGAGCGCGGCGCGGCACTGAGTAGGTAGCTCTCTGTTGTCTTGTCGTTGTCGATCCATGTGGATGTGCAAAAGCAGAGTTGAGGTTCCTGTTAGGAGCTCCCTTTCTGCTTGCTGCAGTGCAGCTATGGTGTTTGATGAAATGTGCATGGCAGCAGTTTCACGTTTACGCTGTAGAACTCAACCCTGATGCGATTTCCGTGGTATGGCTGTACGTGATGTAATATTTGTATTTAGTTAACTTATCACCAGAACAAGTAATTATTCGAGAAAAGAAATGATGAACTTCTGTTGCAAAAAGTAATATTCAGTGTTACTAATCAATGTAGCATTCACACTTCTAGAATAGCTTGCTGCAAAAAAGTGATGAGTACTTAGTCCCATCCCAGTGTTCACGATTAAAGCATACATGCAAAGTTAATCTCGATTTCTATGACTCTTATTCTAATTTTGGATATGATGGTCTGATGAGTTTTGTTTATAATGTTCAACTACAGCAACTTAAATGGGTTAGCAAGCCTTTGATCATTACATCTGTAAAAAAACCTGAACTGTGGATTTGTTTAATGTGAAAGTATGATTTTGATTTGGTTGTAGAATTTGGAAAATTTTGTTCCTCCACCATTAGATGGATTAACCTGATCTGTTTTGCATATCAGTAACAGTAACCATATGTGAATGTAGAGACAAAAATACAGTAATGTTGTTGTCATGGCTCCTCTGTTCCATCAACTAAACAAAGCACAAAAATATATGCTCCTTGTTTAGAATCTAGATAGTGGATCCATTTTATTTCCACTCTTGGAACTACACCATTTCTTTCGCTCATCCACAAGATCAGCCAAGTGAAGTCAGCAATATGCAAGGAACCTAATATGTTCAGAATCTGCTTTGGCTCACCGTGTGCTGCAGATTTGGTGCAGATGTGCAGCTCGATCCGGCTGCCTCACGTGGAGAAGAGGGCCACACGGCGGGGATCACTTCAGGAGCGAGCTGCTGTTGCTGCCACAACCATTCTGGTCTATGGAGAAGCCAACGAGGAAAACAGAGACCAGGAGAAAAAGAGAGAAATGGCTTTTATGTCCTTGTATTCATGCCAGCGGAGTCGGGAGTCCAGCTGCTGTGAATTGCAGGGAGCAACAAAGGATAGGGCGAGAGAAGCTGCCCGGCAGGTTGCCAAATGCTCAAATTCCTGAACTCATTTTACTCTCTAAGTAAAATACCTTTCCGAAATTTGACAAATATGTATAGTGAGATTTAGGTGCTCATTTTTGACTGAATGCACAAATGGTATCGGTTTCAAGTTTTCAGTTTCTAAACAGACTAAGTTTCATAGTGATGCTATCCTATGATCATATTAGAAAACTATTTCACATAAATCCTCTGCACATATATAATGCTAATAGCCCTACTTATTATAACAAAAAAAGCTACTGAATATATTAAGTTAATTTTTATCTTAACGATAATCCTTTCAACTTCTTACTTCAGTACTTCAGTTCACAGTATCAGAACACAGTGCACATTCAAAAAATTATTAGGTTAATTTACAAATACCTCATAATTTCATATTTGTGCTAGTATTAGATGAATATATAACAAACATAATAGTATCTACTAAGCTTGATACAGCTGGTTCCGTAATGGGGCACACCATGCTGCGCGGCATTGCCGCGCGTTGCTTTCTAGTGAGATAGAAACTGCTGAATCACTCTACCAATGGAAAACATCTTCATACATACAGGGACATGAACAAGGCAACGTGCAATTTAGAAAGACAAGTTACTAATAGCGTGTTTAGTCTGTGGATCTACTCCGTCCGGCATGGGTTCGTGCCGAATCAGGCTGTCCGGCGTTTTTACGAGGAATGGATCAGCTCCCGATATTGGCTTGCAGACGTTACTACTTGGTGACGGACGACACCGACCGATGACTTGAACCAAACAAAATATTAGCTTTGGATATAGGATCGGATGATTCTGAACCAACACATGATACTAACCAAACACGCTGTAAAATGGCAAATCCAAGCTACACATATACAGATATACTATTGTGAAGTTGTGAACCATGTAACCTTCTATGCTATTGATAGAGTTGTACTTGATTATGTACTCCATCATCCCAATGGATTAGGCAACACTCCTGCCATTTATTTCAAAACAAAAGAAAAATAAAGCTCCAGGAAAATTGCTTTCCATTCAATATATATCCTTGCATTGATAGGATAGGCCACGTACCTTGAAATATCTAGATTCCATTGTTGGGCAGGGGAGTCAAACATTTCCCCACCAAGCAGAGTACCTATTATTCCAGGGCGCAGTTACACATTCTTTTCGCCAACGATCACAAAGTAACTGACTCTAGGCATGAAGGGTGCCAACCATGACAGTTATAGCTTCTCCACGGATCCGGACCCTCTGAGTTTCCTCATCCCACTGCAGACATAGTGTTCCACTCCTTGGAGAGGCCTGACAAGTGACAACATACAGACAAGATGTATATGATTATGACAAGTTGCAATCTGAAGGATGCTATCAATGGATCAAATACTTTCAAGCTTGTGCTCAATACCATGAAAGCTGTCATGTTATGTTTCCCCAGCTTCTGACCCCAGTAAGGTGCCAAGGAGCAGTGTACGCTAGCACAGACCGGGTCCTGACAAAGAAAAAGGGAGAAAATTAGACGTTACGAAAAAACTTTCTTTTTCATCAGTGCCTTACATAATCTTCAAAGCATACACAGTGCAGGAAGATGTTATCTCTTATCACATCAATTCTTTGATGCCATACTAAATAAGTGGGAACTAGGAACTGAATTCGTTCCTCAAGAGTACATCTCGTGCTGATACAGAGTTTGTTCGTATATCTCACAGCTGATGCAGAAAATGGTTGTGGCTATTCATGAAACACTTAAGTCTGAACTCAAGATGATAATATGGTTATGAGTGGATCAGTTGACCAGAACCTGTTGATGTAAGATTCCTAATTCCAACATTCTTTGAGGAGAGATGAAAGATTTGTTACCAACTGTAAGAGAGACTATCTTAGCATGATGGAACACATTTTTATATTGCATTATTACCTCATTTATTCCATATTTTGGGCTGAAGAAACGAGTGACAAAATCATAACTAGATCCCTCACGAGCTGGACCTGTAATGGCAACACCTCTTCCAGGGTACTGGACTAGTTCAGCAATGTTAGGACAAACATTTTCAACTTCATCACATGAACTAACTTCCACCTGATGAGTTCAAAAAGGTTAAAAAAGTGCAACCAACTATTAGAATGAAAGAAACAAACTTGGAGAGCTTGCAGTTGAAACAAGAGTTTTGATTATGAAATGAAACGGAGATTGGATTAGTGGAGAGAAGGATCAAAGGAATTACAATGAGGTCAGAAAAAGCAGAGACGGCTTGCAGCTCATTAATGACAGAAGCACCATTTAAAGTATCAGGAAGTGAAAACACCTCTGCAGAATTCAATTTTACCACCGGGATAACAGGAAAATCCAATTCTACAAAGAACTTTGTTGAGCAGGTATACTGTGCAGGAGAATATAAGTTGCTTGCATCCTTTGATCCAACAACTTTCTTAGCTGTTAGACGTCCAGATTTTGCCACAAACTCTATAGCGTCACACTCAACATGGCCAGATGAGATTAGGTAGTGTGCAGCAGCTAACGTCCCATGCCCACAAAGTTCACTCTGCACAATTAATAAAGTCAAATACGATTTCTCCAACAGCGTCAGATCAAGAGTATAATAATGAAAAGACTGCTTCTACAGAAGTACCAGAAGGTAATTCTGTTTCATGAAAAGAACACCGGAATACAGGATTATGGTGGATGCTTGATGCAACTTAGATGGCACAAGGAACTGCAGCATTATTGTGTAAGTGACCTCGAATTTTAAATTAATCATGTGCCAAGAAAAGAAAGCCTCACTTCCTGTTATCTGAAGGGGATCAGAGATTACAAGCAACTAAAGGGATATCAGAAATTGCAAGAAAACATAATGGTATAATAAAAGTTGTAAGAGTACTTATTTAACACTAAAATACCATACCGTATATCAGTCAGAAAGCAACAAAGTTCTTCTTTGAAAGAAGCAAATAAACATATGCGCATCCATAACATCTTATGAAGGCCACCCTTTGCAGAAAGAATGGATTATATTTCCTAAATACTACATTGAAATTTGGCACAAGACACTGAAGTGAACCATCAGTATTGCACAATGAGTAGCATCCTATACGCATCCTAAACTAATAAAACAACATAAAAATGGCATAGTGTTACTCTAGGATGTGTTGCGACTACCTACCTGGTGTCATAGAGCTCTGCACCAATGTGAAATGCCTGCCATATTATTAGCTCATGTGGTTCGTCAATCGTGATACAGGCATACAGCAGCTCAGTGATTCCAGTTCACTCAGGCACCCTAATGTTAGCAGGTTCTAAGATAAGAAAGTGGAAGATTTGTGACGGAAACAATAACCTCACGAACCGGAGTGAACCAGCGGATACGGAACTGGGGAGTCAACGCCGTAACACCACCCCCTGCAGCATCCGCACCCGCACCGGCACCAGCGGAACCGGAACGGACCAGGAACGCGGTGATGGGGGTGTTGAACTCTGCTGCCACCGACTGCATCCACAGCTCGTCCAGATGGTCTCCTGCGGCGCCAGCGTCGTCCTCCAAGAGGCAGACGGCCGCGGAGTTGCCCTTGAACGGCTCATCCGTGAAGGCATCAACCTGGAGGGACAGATCAACATGTTAACAGAAATGGAGCGAGCTAGTTGGTGATAGAGAGAGCTTTGCGACTGACCACGACGTATCTGAATGCTCTCTTCGGCATCCCGTCGAGCACCTGGGGGACGGAGGCAGAATCGGAGCTGGGGAGCTGGAGCAGTGACAGGAGGGTTTGGCACTTCGACCAGCGTCATATTTGTTTGTTTATTAGTTATGGCTAAAAATAAAAATATTGTTGGCTGATTTGGTATGAGAGAAAAATATTGTTCGTTGACTGATAAGTTATGGTTTATAAGTTGAATACGACTAAACGAACAGGCTATAGTACACCTTGTTGTTAACCCTGACTTTACTTCATGGATACTTTTGACTAAACTTGGACGCCAGGTTCTCTAATTATTCACTCTGTTCTCTGATGCTGAAGTTTGATTTATGCTGATACTTATGTTGAAATATTGTGAGAGAAAAATATTATTCCATGACTGAAAAGTAGTTCTGAATAAGCTCGAACAAACATGGCCATTGTGTCCGTCACTATTACCAAACTACCCTTTCATGTGTTCTATGCTTAACAGCCATGTTCCCGTTCCCGTTTCAAACAGAAACGTTCCCGTTTTCGGAACGTTCTCGAAACGTGGAATATGGAAACGGGACTAGACAGCTAAGACCCTACGGTGTAATACCTAACTACTACCTTTCTGTCATTCTGTGTATTCTACGGTGTAATTAGTTGGTTGTATATGTCCAGCTAAACTCGTGGGATACAATTTCGTGCTTATTGGTTGCACTATCTTTTAGGTCCAGCTTGCATAATGTAAAAATGACCCCTCAGTCTACCTCCAATCCTCCATGTGGATACGTCGATTTTAGACATTTCTCTTAAGCCAGACTCGCTAGATGCATACGCTTACTTAACTAATGATGTTATTAGTGTATGATTAGTACATATCTAGTAATTAATATTGATGCATTTCAAAGAATCTTAATGCATAATAAGATAAATAAGGACTTTAAGAGTACAATAACACAAAATAAGGAATTATGTCCACAATTTGGTATTTTTTTATCTCATGCAACAAATTTTGTAATCAAACATCATCTCTTTTCAGTCCAACTAAACAGTTAGGTGTTGCATGTGCCTGGTCTAACTCAGTGGAGCCTCACTAAATTGATGTGAGATAGGCTAGGACATGCAAATAACCAATCAGGTCCCTAGATTCACTGAACAACATTTGTTAAGACGAGAACTGGCCAAATGGATATGTTAAATTCACTGAACAACATTTGTCGAGACGAGAGCTGGCCAATGGGATATGTTAAGGGCCTATTTGGATCAGCTAAGGTTATTAATAATTAGTTGGTGCTAAAAAAATAGCCTAAATTACATGGAATCGGCTAGCTAGTTGGTGCTTAAAAAATAACCTAAATTACATGGAGTCAGCTAGCTAGTTGGCTAACAGCTGTTGGTGCCCTGGGGCTGGCCGCGTCGCGCTGTGCCGGCTCTGCTCCACCAGGCGCCATCATCGTTCCGCACTGGTGTCGTGCCATCGCATGGCCGCAACTGTCATCGCTAGTAAGCGCACATTCCTCTACGTCGCGTCATCACATCGTGTGCACCCACCGCTTGCGTCGCGTCGCCGCTGCCATTGCTGCGCGCACCTGCTGCACCGGCGCAAGGCTGTGTCGCCGTCGGTTTGCCAATTAAGGCGCTGCGACCGCACGAGCCATGCAGACTCGTACGCGCACGTGTAACCTTCCCTATGTGCCCTTGTTCGCTTCTATTGAGTGGTGTGCGCCACTCTGCGCTCCCCAGCCACCTCCGCCTTTAATGGCGTCGCGCCGGCGTCACCAAGCCGCGCCAAGGCCAACTCGCAGCGCCGGTCTAATCCGAGCAATTGTGCATGCCAGAAGCGCAATTGGGAACCTAGCTACATGCCAAGCTCGCCCACTGTTGTAGCCACACCGTGTCGAGCTTCAATTTGGAGATTCCCCGCCTCGGCCACCTTAAGACCGAACGGCAACGCCCGTCTTATTCGCCTCGCACCATCCACCTCCATTCAATTCCGTGGCACTATGTCTTCACCCTATCCCCCTCCATCCCGTGTGCACCCCATTTTCACCACCACAACCTTCCCAGCGCCGCTAACACAGTTGCGCCATCGTCGTCCGCTGTGAGGCTTGTCGTGTGCGCGTTGTCAGACTCACCCGGTCAAGCCACCACATCTGGTAGGTTCTGGGTGAGTTGCTGATGCCTATCCACTAGTCCTTTAGCCTCGGTTATGCCTGAGCTCACGAGAACATGGCCGCCACCACCGCAGGAGGCCCGCCGCCATGGAGGGAGCTCGGGACCACGTCTCCGTTCTTCACTTCAGCTCTCACCGCCTCGTGTTCGTATCTAGGTAAGCATTGGCTCGCTATAGGGGGTGGGGAGGGGCTAGGCTGGCCGTCGTGACCGCCCAGTGCCGTCGCCACCACGCGCGCTGCGCGCATGGGTGATCGAGGGTCTGGCCGTTGTGAAGATGCTTTATTCCGAGGGTTAGATCACTTAAGTCCACACTGTGGGAATAGTACTATAGACCTTGGAGTGAATCATCGATAGTTCGAGGATGTTTTCGCAATTGTGCCAGCACACGCGGGCCTTCCCGTCGCGGGCCGTCGTTGCGTGGTTGGGCCGCTGAAAGGTCCTAATGGCTAGAGGGGGGGTGAATAGCCTAATAAAAATTTCTACAACAACACTTAACAAACCGGTGAAAGGTCCTTGTTGGTTTTGGTAATTGAGTGACAACCTAGGTGGACTAATTGTGTTTATGTGAGATACACAGGTGATTAGTCCACAGGTACATGTGTATGAGCAACATATGCCATGGAGGTGAAAATGGCTTGGAGATGTTGCAAAGCTCACACATGTGATGATGAAGGAGCTTATTGCACATGAGACATGACATTGAGTCATGTGATCAAGGTGGAGAAGATCAAGACAAGACTTGGCTTGATGGACCGGTTGCAAGCGTGAAGGGCAAGTCAAAGGCTTTGGAGTGATGGACCGCGTGGCGGTGAAGCTTGAGCAAGACTTGGCGCCGATGGACGATAGCAACGGTGAAGAGCAAGTAGAGTCAAGATCGATGAACCAATATGATCATGTGATGATATGAAGTGGATCATATCATTGTTGATCGTGTTGGTGCATGTGTTGCATCGACATTGAAGGAGATGGAATGGAATGCGCAAGGCAAAGGTATAACCTAGGGCATTTCATTTCACCGGTCATAGGTGTGTAGAGAAGTTTATGACCGGATTTAGGATAGATGGCCGTACTATCAAGAGGGGCAAACTTGTTTGCATATCGGTCATCTAGTGCCACTCGAGTGATCTAACTTTGCATTGTCGCTAGGATCGAGTGGCGTGGCAAGTTGAGTGGCTAACATCCTTTGGGAAATGATTGTGAAAATGCTAACACACATACACATGGTGGTGTACACTTGGTGGTGTTGGCACATTTACAAAGGAGGTGGTGTTTGCAGGGGTGAGATGGGTTTGGGTCCCTCTCTCCCTCCCGCCGAGCTTGCGAGGCGGGATTCGGCGCTTTCGGGAAAATAGAATGCCTATTTTCTATTGCGCCGGATGCAAATTCTTGTGGTTGGCACATTGGAGCAAGGGTGAAGAAGTTAGAAGTGAAAACGAGTTGATCGCGAAGATGCTGGCGTCGGTCCACTGACCGGACGCTGGGTCATGCAGCGACCGGACGCTGAAAGGCTGCGTCCGGTCAAACTGATGGGTCTGCTCTGTACCGAGGGTATTGCACCGGACGCTGGTCTGCGTCCGGTCAAGGTGGACCGGACGCGTCCGGTCGAGAAAATATGCCTCGGGAGCTTTATTGAAACGCACCGGACGTGGGGCTTCAGCGTCCGGTCCGTCGATTACCGCCATGCGTCCGGTCAAGTCAAGTGACCGTTGGAATCGAGGACGTGGCCGTCTGCGGGCGACCGGACGCCGAGGTCCAGCGTCCGATCAACACGACCGAGAGCGTCCGGCCGGCCCGACCGTTGCTCGATGAAAGGGTAACGGCTAGTTTAGCCCTTGGGGCTATAAATAGAAGTGGCCTCGGCCATGGCTGGTCTTTGAGCACCTCAAGGGACTTAGTGTCCATGCAGCTTGTGAGTGCTTGGGAGCCTCCATCACACACATACTTGATAGCGATCATCCGATTGTGTGAGTGAGCGATTCTAGTGCGATTGCATCGTGAGGTTGCATCGAGTGGCACTAGGTGATCGAGTTGCGAGCCGGTGGTGCTTGTTACTCTTGGAGGTTGCCACCTCCTAGATGGCTTAGTGGTGGTCTCCGTCGAAGCGCCGCAAGAAGCTTGTCAGCGGCGCTCGGAGAAGTGCTTGTGAGGGGCATTGTGCTCGCGCCATGGAGGAGCCGCGAAGAGCAACTCTAGTAAAGCGTGTCATTGAGCTACCCTCACTCAAGGGGTAGGTTCTTGCGGCGCCCGACGTGCGGGCTTAGCGGGTGATGCTAATTTAGCCGAACCACCAAGTGAGCGGTCGACACAACGGGGACTAGCGTGTTGGCAAACACGTGAACCTCGGGAGAAAAATCATCGTGTCAACCTTGTTCTTCCCATTGGTTTGCATCCCCATTACACAAGCTCGCAATTACTTATATATATATATCTTAAGCTTGTGTAGTTGCTCTTGTAATTAGATAGCTTGTGTAGCTAGCTAATTACCTTCTTGCTTGTGTAGCATAGAAGTAGCTCCCTTGCGTGGCTAATTTGGTTTTAGTAACCTTGTTAGTCACATTACTTAATTTGTGTAGCTAAGTATTTGCGCTCTCTAATTAGGCATTGGTTGCCTTGTTATTGAGCATTGCTAGTGAGCTTAGTTAGCTTTGTGCTTTTGCTTACTAGCATGTGTAGGAGCTCCCTTGTTACTTAAAATACTAGTGGCATAGGTTTGTGTGACCCTGCTCCTAGAATTGTTTAGGAGAGTTCTAGCTAGCCCGGCACCTTAGTTGCTTTATTAGTATCTTTGCAAGGTGCTAGTGAACATATATAGAGGGGTGTAGTCTTGGCTAGACCGATTGTTTTAATTCCGCATTTATATC